ACAAGTACACGTCTCGAAAAATGAATATTTTCCTCTTCCTTTTCATCGTCAAGATCCAGTTGAGTTTTTCTTTAGATCCATATGCCCAGCAACAGCTGGATAGAGTTTCAAAGCTGCCGGGGCAGAATTTTGACGTGAGCTTTGATCATTATGCTGGCTATGTTACTGTCAACGAGGAATCTGGGCGAGCACTGTTTTATTGGTTACTTGAGGCGGATGAGGAGCCTTCTTCTAAGCCTCTTGTTCTTTGGCTCAACGGAGGTCAGTGGATTTTTATTTTATATTTTTCCAGTGAGTCTCTTTGTCCATAATCTGAAAATTGCTAACGGAAAATTTGACTTGACAGAACTTAAAACAGTTAATTTATTATTATGTTCATTTTAGAACAATTATGTGAGAATTCGGTCGTTGAAATTTAAGCTGGATTTTTCCTGAGTCACTCAATTTTATTTTAAGAAAAATTATTTCATTTTTTTTAACAGTTTGACATTTAATATAGTAAGCTATCGTTTTTTTCAAGTTCGATTTGATTTTAATGTCTGCTTCATCATATTGTCGTCTACATCACATATAGTGATATAATTGAAATAAAAATTAAATCCAAAATTTAATAATTTAAGTAAATTTTGTTTAAAGTTGATTGACTCGAGTCCTTTTATTGACGTACAGTTTTAGTACTGAAATATACATTTAGAAATCAATCCCATTAATATAAAAAGGTTAAACCCTAACCTTAAGGGTCCCCCACCACCCCTGCCCTGGAGTATTGTGAGGGAGGTAAATCGTAGGTTATGCCTCCAAGGGTACAGGGTAGAAAGCTGCTTGTACACTTGCACTTACCCAAGAGTCAAATCCATATTTCAGGATTCGAAGCAAAGCTGAATTTCTCCACCCTCCCCTTTTACTACTTGGAGATGTGTCCTGGGGGCAATCAATCCCATTAATATAAATAGCACAGAAGGAAGAAGAAGAGGAAAGAAGCCGAGTGATGAAACTGACGGATTGAGCACTGTTTGACATAAGAGTTTTCGTTATTGGATTAAGATGACTTAAATACTGGTACTATAACGAATAGAACATATGATACTATAAAGGGCAAATTGTTGCGGAGGAGGTCCCAAACCTTTTATTTTGTTGCGGAATAGACCTTAATATTTCATTTCTGCGGCAGCGATCTCAAACTTTTTACTTTAATGGTAGCTGGAGTTTTGTCCATAATTCAGTTAGTCAGCACTGAAATTTGAATTTTGACTCAAACGAGATGAAGGGTAAAAATTTATATTTTCAAAAAAAAAAAAAAAAAAAAAAAAAAAAACACTATGAACATCTTCTCCATTCGGACCATTCCCTAATCCACCCCCAAAACCAGTCAGTCACCGCCATCCATATGTCGTCGCACCGTCAAACCATTGTAGCCACTACCTCCCACCCACCGCTGCACACCTCCTAAATCTATATTCCTCCAAGATCTAGTTTTCTGGGGTTAGAAGTTTTCTTTGTTCCAATTGTTTCCTCCATAATTTATATCCTTTTGTATATAGATTTTACCCTTCTTCTCATACTTAAATTACCAACCAGCCAGTACAATTTATACCATCTTACTTCACCCAATTTTCAGATTTTTACATTTTTCTATACTCCGGCGAACACACAATTTGCACACTTTTTGGAAATGTAAAAAGGATATATCAAAAAGTTAGAACCTGTACTCGAATCCGAGTGTAGTGGTGATGGATTTACAGAGAGGACAAATAAATTGGGAACAGAAGATATTGGGTCAGAACAGGAAAGATTGAATCTTGTCTAATTAGCCGGTCGAGTCGCGAGCCAGTTCTGTGGGTTATCCCTTGCTTATGGCTGACACAATTTGGTATACTTCTTGAAAAGAGATGTGCTACATGTGCATATTTATTTTGACTAACGGAAATTCTGGATGGAATCTGTCTGATTTATTTCGGCTGCCGTTAAAATGAAAGGTTTGGAATTGTAGCCGCAACAATGAAAGCTTAAGGTATATTTTGCAATAAAATGAAAGGTTTGGGACCTCCGTTGCAATTTTCCCTGCTATAAATCTAAAATAAAAAGAACATTTTTTTTTTCAGTGACAGACCGTTTGGCCAACCGTCAATATTACCGTTTCCATGGGAATTTTTTGGGAATAAGCAATAAGGGCTAATAACCTTTTATCATTAGCCAAGAAAAATTAAAATTCAAGAAATATGGTGTTATTTCTTGCCTTTCTTGAATATAAAATTCTGTTAAGTATATACATTTTTTTTTAATTTGAAATCTTGCATCATGTTAAATTTGTATTCACGAAAAAAAATGTGTTGGATTTTCTTTTCCGTTTCTAATTAACGGTTCATTTATACTATGTTCAGGGCCCGGATGTTCAGCTATTGGATATGGATTAGCAGAGGAAATTGGACCTTTCCATGTCCAGAAAGATGGGAAGACACTTTATTTGAACCCTTATTCTTGGAATAAAGGTATTAGGTATCTACTACGTGTTTTCTTTTAAATTTCAAATGAATTGATCTGCATTTAACTTATTAATTTAATTCTATTGATATATATATATATATATATATATTTTTTTTTTTGTAAGTTTTTAATTTCAAATTGATAAGCGAATTGCCTAATTATTTTCCCATTTTGCAGTTGCAAATATATTGTTTGTTGACACTCCAGTTGGAGTTGGTTTTTCATATTCTAACACTACCAATGATCTACTGAACAATGGTGATAAAAGCACCGGTATTAGTTTCTTTCTTGAGGCCCTTCTTGATTTTTCCCTTTTAATGTTATTTCAGTAATGTATAGAAGCTTGATTTCAATCTCATTCAATGCAGCTGCCGACAACCTAGAATTTTTCGTGCAGTGGTTTAAGCGTTTTCCAAATTATAAAGGGAGGGACTTTTATATCACAGGCGAAAGTTATGCAGGTGGGTAATTGTGAATTTTCTATAAACTTTGAATAGCTATGGAATGACTACCTTTATTGTGACGACCTAGGTCTCGTGCCCAGGTTGTTAACTTACATACTTTCCATTCTGAGAGAATCTGAGTTCATCTTATCCCTTACGGATTTCTATCGCATCTCTAGGATTTGAATTTTTGGTCTCTCCCTTAGGAGAGATTTAAGTTGAATCTTGGCACCAAGATTCAACTTAAGTCTCTCTTAAGAAGAAGTCATGTGTTCGAATTATATGGACGCAATAGAAATTCGTAACTTGTAAGATGGGTTCAGGCTCTATCATAGCGGACAATACGTAAGTTAATAGTTTGAACACAAAGGTTGAATCGTTACATTTATGCAGTTTTCATCCTCCCTGATTTACTTATTGAAACTAGCTAGTGTCGGGAAAAGATTTAAGTAATGTAAAGAGGATGAATGTCATTAGATATCCTATAAGCCAACATTAATTCCTGGTTCATGGCTTCTTTTTTGCTATTATGAAATAAATTGTGGTGCACTCAATATACAGGACACTATATACCACAACTAAGCCAAGCAATTGTAAGGCACAACCTTAAAAAGAAAGACAAAGAAGTTATCAATCTGAAGGGTTTCATGGTATTGGGTTTCTCCCCTTGATATTTGAGATAAGAAGATCACATTGCTTATTTGACAAAATTAAACAGATAACATACCCTTTTAATGAAGGTTGGAAATGCTCTAATCGATGATTTTTACGACCAATTGGGGCGCTTCCAGTATTTGTGGTCAGTTGGTATGATATCTGATCAGACCTTCGAGCAGTTGAACATTTTATGTGACTCTGGATCGTTTTTACACACATCAGAGCAGTGTGATGAAGTTCTCGATATATCTCTTGAAGAAATGGGAGACATTGATATTTATAGTATCTTCACTCCTCCATGCACAGCCAAATTTAATAGATTTAATCAGCTATTGAAAAGAAAGAAAGTAAGTATTTAAATCTTTAATAAACTCTTTTTAACGTCTCTGAGATTTTATCTATTGGTTGAATTTAAATAGACTATTTTGGATGACTAACGGAATCAAATTTCTCGTGATAGATGATTGGTCTTATCAAAAGATCATACGATCCTTGCACTTTGCAGCACTCAGTTATTTATTTCAATCTTCCTGAGGTTCAAAATGCTCTCCATGTTCATAGCAAAAATTCTTCATCCAAATGGGATACTTGCAGGTAAATTCTAGTTTTTGGATGGGAGGAAAAAGGATTCTTGGAGTCTTACTATCATTACCTTTCATTTCATCTTATTTTTTTGAAATGATAATTCAATCATATATTCCCTTTCTTTCTGAGTGATGACAATTCTTATGGCCTCGTTTGCTGGTGCAGTTGTGTATTCTAATGAGAATTAAATCGACCAAATTAAAGTTATTAACTATAATTGTCCTGTGCTACAAAAATAAAAAAATAGTGCAGGAAAGTAGGTGTTGCGATGTGTATCAACTGACTTAGAAATTTGTGTTCTAAAAAGGGTAAAGCAAGGCGAAGCATGGAGGCCAAGCTCCGACCTAAGCGTAAAAAAGGGTTTTTTTTTTAATTTTATTTTAGTACTATTTAAAATTTTTAAATCAATCTAAAAATAATTAATAAATGATGGAAAAAAGCATTAAAAAAAGGCATGCCTAGGCATGAAAAAATAAAAAATAAAATAAAATCGCGAAAAAGTACAAGGCGCGAGACGTTTTGTCCCACCTTCACAGCTTTTTAGAACACTGCTAGAAATATAATTAAAAAAATATTGTTTCGTCCTTTTATTTTCCTTTTCTTCTCGACGTTTTACATTGTTTAGATAACTTTTCAATTACATAACAAAATTCTGAAGTATCTCGAGGGTGAAATTTAGGCTCCATTTATACAGAAACAGTAGTTTTAGCTTTGGACCTCTGAACAAATGAGGAAGGACAAAAACTTCTGAAAATCCATAGAAACAAACTAGATGTCTTCAACCACTCTCCTGTACATTTTAGGGATGGAATAACCTTGAACTCAATGGGAGATGGCATGGTGATTCAGGTAGAGTAAGGTCTCAAGAGTTTCAAGATGCTTTTATCATCCCAAGTCAATAATATTCTCTAACTATAGCAGTTCATTATATTTCGCTTTTGGCTATTTCCAACGTGATTGATATTTACAACTTGACGTTGATGCATTTTCTAGACAGATCAATATTCACATAATCACATCTTTGCAGTGACATGGTGAATAAAAATTGGAAGGATTCTGCTACTTCGGTTTTGAACATCTACCGCGAGCTTATACCTTTAGGACTTCGTATTTGGATCCTCAGGTTTCCACTTGTTCCCATTTTTATGGTTTTCTTTTGAATAATTCGTTAACAAAATTTTCTACCTTCGGTATACATTAGGTTTTCTTTTGAATAATTGTTAACAAAATTTTCTAACTTAGATATACATTATGGAAGGGGGACATTCATCTTAATCTCTCTTAGCATAAAAAGAACCTAAACTTTACAATGCTGTTTTAAGGTTAAATTTAAATAATTAATTGTATCCCCCTTTCAAATAGCTAAAGCTTTAGACGGGGTGAATTAACATGGTAACATAGCCAAGAAAAAGTGCATGTTTTAGGTCACGTTGCCACCCATTTGTGAAAATCGTGCACAATGTCAATCCTACACATGTTTGTTTAAGATAAAATTTATATAAATAAATGTGGCCTCTAAAACAATTTAAGCCTTTAGATGAGGCGGTTCATACGAAACAGTAGGGTTGTCTAGAGGTCGTTACTCATTTCTTTCGTTTATTGTCCTATATTGTACTGATATTTTGTGATTTATATTTTTGTTCAAATAAATCAACGGATATTTTTGTTCTGTTCTAAAGTAACGTAGATAAAAGTATTATATTACAATCTCTCTAACTTTTTTTTTTTTTTTTTTTTTTTTTTTTTTTTTTTTAATGGGGGGTTTTTTTTTTTTTTTTCCAAAAAACCGTTTTTTTTTTTTTTTTACAGTGGGGATGCTGATGCTGTAGTTCCAGTAACATCCACACGTTACAGTATAGATGCTCTAGAACTTCAAACAATTAGTCCTTGGCATGCTTGGTACGACGATGGCCAGGTTTTTCTACTTTCGTCTATTTGATTCTCCACATTCATCTGTTTTTGAAGAAATAATATGAATCGAACTTGATTGCTTTATCGACTGAGCGTGTGTTCATAACGCCATGCAAACTAGAAAATCATTGGCCACCAAATTATTGAATTTTATCCCATTGTAATGGTGTGTAACAGGTAGGAGGATGGACACAAGAGTACCAAGGACTGAATTTTGTTGTAGTGAGAGGGGCAGGCCATGAAGTTCCACTGCATAAACCCAAGCAAGCCTTAACACTTATCAAGTCTTTCTTATCAGGAACTTCAATGCCAAAACTGGAAAAAGTTAGTGATTCATAATCCTCTTCCCTGTCTCCCCTGTTTAGCTGATAATTATAGGGATTGAATGGTGTCATCATTAATACTAAGATTCGTCGGTTTCGAGTTTCGAGGTTATTTAATATCAATCTAGCTTGTAATAAGAATTTGCTTCCCACTTTGTCTTGTGTATTTTAGTCATAAAATCTCAGAGGAATAACAAAAAAATTTCTCCTTGCATTTCATTTGAGAACTGGGAAATATATCTATTTTTTTTTTTTTTTTATGTCGTGAAAGGGTTCAAATGTTATGAATTTTTTACTTTATGGAAAATAATTTTTAAAAGTAAAGCAAAAGTCGATTTCTGTCTTGCATTTCATTTCAATTTTTGATGAGTGCCCCCTCATTTTTTATGGTTCCAAATAATTAGGTTTCATCGGTAATAATGAAATTCAGCCTAATGATTCTGGTTTGGTTCCAACCCAAAATTCGTAATTTTTAATGAAAATTATCCTTCAAGTTTTATCACCAAATATTTATACTCACATCTAAATAAAAATTAAGCCTCATTTAAAGCAAATGAAAGTTCCATCTTCAAACAAAATATTGTCTAATAAAAATTATTAATTTAATTAACAAATAAATAAAATTAACTAAAAAATTGTGCGGTTAGAACGATACTCGATTCTTGATTTTGGTTATCCAAAATTGAATTGGCCGATGGATACTTTTATCGACCTCTGGTTGATCATATTGTTATTATTGTGCTGGTGTTCCAACAATCATTGTAATAAGTTCTGTAAATAGATATATAAAGATACTAATGGTCGGTCCGAAAAAGAGATGTACAATTATGTCTTATGAGAAATGATATTACAAAAGATCGTATTTTTTTGTGTAAAAAACAAATTTACGTACAAATAGATAAAAAAGAGCTCATGTTTTAGAACTGTTTATAATCATCAAATTATTTTTATTTTAATTATTTTATGGGAGTTATAAGTATTATCCACTTATTAATTGTTTGTTTTATTTATTTATAATTTAAACCGTTTATAAACATTTCTTATATAGTTTCTGTTTTAGCTTCTTTCTTTAAAAATTCATTTTTTCCGGAGCTCATTTTTTATATCACACATTATTTCAATCAAATAATTTTATAAGTATATTTAATTTTTTTTATACTTTTTAAATTACACATTCTTCAAAAAAATTACTATTACAAAATATATTTTTTCAAAAAATGGGGCTCAAACAAATTCTAATGGATGAGAACAATTATCTCCTGTCTTCAAGCAAGTTTCCAAACATGCTCTAAATAAGTATGTAAATACTTTGTCTAGTAATTGAATAGTAAGAACAAACGAGAAACTATCAAACTTCTCTTCTTTCTTCTGTTTTGATCCTACAAAAGAATTAGGATCAATGTTTTTAAAAATCGGATAGATCCGATTGGTTTAATTGGAAAAATCGAGAATTGGAACCAAAATCAATTTGGTTAGGCTTATAAAACCTCTAATGCAAACTCGTTAAATTGACCGATTTTTGAAAAAATCCTTGACCTCTTATTGATTTAAGTGGTTCAATCTCTATAAATGTATATTTTTAAAATTTTTGTAAATGCATATTTTTTAATTTTTTAAAATTACCAGTTCGATCTAGATTTGATCTCGATTTAACCTTTTTGACTCTTGGCTCTTTTCATTTTACGGGTCGATAGTTGAGTCAATTTTCAAAACATGGGTTAGGATAACTACAAAAGTTATTATATTCGTGTAAAACAATTGAGCCTCTTTTTGGGTATATTTTATAAACGATTTAATTTATAAATAAATAAAAATGAATGATTGATAAATAAATAGTATTTATAAATTTATTAAAATATGTTATTATAAGTGAAGTTTTACCATTTATTAATTCATAAATCAAAATGGAAGATAAGTCAAAATGGAAGGTAAGGTGAAATTCTAACAACTTTATTGAAATTACTTTAGTTCAAGATGTAATTAAGCTTCCATTTGGCAATCTTATGTAAAGCATCTAATTTTGTTTTCAACTGTGGTTAAGTCACATTATTTTAAAATAATGTATTTTGGAATAGTAGATTGATGGAGAATATGTGGTTAAAAAATAGGAAAATTTTGAATTTACGTGTAATATTATTTTATTGAAAAATGTGAGATTGAAATGATGTTAAATCACTATTTAAGAATTTATTTTTTGAAGGAATGCCGCTCAATTAGGGTGTAGTCTGTCTACTTATTTTGCATTTATTTCTCTCTAATTTTTTCCAAAGCGTTTTAGGTAAATAGCACAAAACTATCTCTACCTTTCAATGTCATTGTGTAAACCTCCATTAGCTTTTATTTTTTGGTATTTTCACCTCTATTTCCACCATTCATTGCGTAAAAGGCAATTTTCATCATTTTTCCCAATAAAAAGACGATTTTACTTTCCTATTTAAATAAAACAAAAAAAGTAATGAAATGAAAGGATAAAGAACTAATTGCAACAATAATCCCAAATTTTCAAAAAATTATAAATTAATCACAAATATATAATTAAAAATCAAAACTATGAAAAACAAGGATCATTCATCTTCTTTCTCCATACACTATTATTCTTGACTTTTTTATATTTATTTATTCCTCCAAGAAAAGTGTTTCTAGGTTATAATTTCTCATACTTTACCCAATTTTCAGATTTTTACATTTTTCGATACTTATGTGTGCACACGATTTGCGCACTTTCGGACAATGTAAAAAAGGATGCTCTCTTCAAACTTCTCAGAAAAGATAGAACGCGAACCCGAATTCAAATACGGTGGTGATGAATTTATAGAGAGAGTGAACTAGGAAATGAAGATAATGGGCCAGAACATGAAAGATTGAATTTTGTCTAGAAAGCAAACTGTGATCCAATGGAAATTTATAAAGACATTAGAGATGCTGTAAAGTCTGAAAAGCAAAGTTGGGCTAATTGGGATGCTTTAACTGAGATTTTTAGGTCACTTTCCAAGTCCGATTTGGCATCGAATCAAGCCCTAGCTGTTTATATTGGTGCCTCATTTTTTCTCACTGCTGATCATGAGTTCTGTAAGTTTTTCTTCAAGAAGTGTAAGACTGATTTAGAGTACTTGGTATCGCTTGGCCCTGGTGACGAGGCTGATAAGTTTTTGTTGAGTTTTGTATAGAAGAGTTTCCAGATGAGATTAAGAGGTTTAGGAAAATGGTGGACTCAGCTGACTTGACGAAGCCACACATTTGGTTCACTTTTTGCTAGAGCAATGAAGTGGTAGCATTTAAATTTGGGAGCTTGGGAATTGTATGAATCTTTAGATGCTTGCTTTGTACCAGAACATGGAGGAAGAAGATGAATGGTTTTTATTTTTTAGTTTTGATTTCTAATTATATATATTTGTGATTAATTTGTAATTTTTTGAAAATTTTGGACTATTGTTGTAATTAGCTTTTTATCTTACCTTATCTTTTTTGTTTTATTATTATTATTTTTAGAAAAATTGATTATAAGGACCTTGTGAGTAATAAAAGGTGAAAACATGGGTAAAAATGTCAAAAAATAAAAAAATATGAACATTTTGTACAGGTGTGCTTGTTTTGTGTATAATCGTGGTTGACAATTAGACACATGGAAGTGAGATCCACACTGTCCCTCCTCATTAATGATGGCAATTTGTCCCGTCCCGTCCCGTCCCGAATGGGGCAAAAAAACCCGCCCCGTCGTGGGGCGGGGGCGGGGGCGGGCGCGGGGCGAGGATGCCCTGTCCCGAACCCGCCCGTGAAGAAAAAGTAAAAAAAAAATTTAAAAATGATTTAATTTCTAGACAATTCATCCGTTAAAAACTTATTTTAAATTTGTATTTTATTTTCTAATAATAACATAATTCGAAACTTTCAAAATGTAAAAAAATAAAATAAAATTAAACGGGGCAACAAACAGAGCTAAAAGTTACCCCGTCCCCGCCCCCGTCTATGGTGGAGCGGGGCATGGGGTTTTAGCCAAATGGGGCAGGGCGGGATGGGGCTACCCCACCTCGAACCCGCCCCGTTGCCATCACTACTCCTCATGTGAGTATGTCAATTGGAATTGTCAACCTAGGTTGTATAAGAAGAATTATTCATTTAGTATTTACCCTTTTTCTAAATTGGAGGCTAATAAAAAATGCTTAAGACGAGGAATAGACATATTTGTCTATTTTCACTAATTTTCCCAGAAAAACAACTGGTGAAAAGACAGATATTATGGTCCTCAAATCGATCCTCAAAACATGAAAATTGCACGTGAGAATCATATATCAGAATCTGACTCACACGTTTGGAAGCAAGAAAACTACGTCGAACATTCCAATTGCTGGAACTTCTCCTCCACTTATTGCATCCTAAGTTATCCTCTAAGTATCTCAGTTCCGGTATGCCCTAATTTTCTTCATCTGCTAAGAAATGGAATTTCAAACGCAAAAATAAGTATATAACCCACCAAATTCGCAGAGATCATCGTACTCCATGTCCTCTCTGAAACTCCCAGTGTCTTTAGATAACAGCTCGTACGAGTCGAAGAAAAGGTTTGATGTCAAATCATTGAGACTCCATTCTATTTGTTCATTTTCTGGTTATGTAAATATACACGGTGCATTTTTTGTAAATCCCATTTGTAAACTGAAGCACGTTAGAGTTTCTAGAATTGACACTGAATGTCATGAAACCTCTGAGGAAAATTTGGTCAATTTCTCGACCCTGGATAAAGATGTGGCTAGTGATCGTGATTTAGGTCTAGAAAGCCAGGATTTTTATGGGGGTTTTCAGAAAGGAAGAGTGAATGTTTGCAAAACATCCCGGGGTGCAAAGACAGTGAAGAAAAATACTGAATTGAGGGCGAATTTTCGAAAAAATGTGAAAAAAAATGAGAAGGAAGAAAAGCCCATGATTGTACATGAGGCAATTAGGGTAGACAATACCTTGGAGGGTAAAAATTTGGTAGATTTTGATGTTAGTAGTCTTGGGCACGAGTTGAGCTCCGAGCGTTGTAATGTACTCTTGAAACAGTTTGAGAAAGGAAGTGATAACAAAGCGTTGAGTTTTTTCAAATGGATGAGAAGTAATGGGAAGTTGACGCAGAATGTGATTGCCTACAATTTGATTTTGAGAGTTTTAGGTAGGACAGAGGATTGGGATGGAGCGGAAGCTATGATTAAAGAGATGGTTAGTGACTCGTCGTGTGAGCTTAATTGTCAGGTTTTTAATACCCTTATTTATGTTTGCTATAAGAGGGGACTAGTGGAGTTAGGTGCAAGATGGTTTAGGATGATGTTGGAAAATGGGGTTCGTCCTAATGTTGCTACTTTTGGAATGCTCATGAGTCTTTATCGGAAGGGTTGGGTTGTTGAGGAAGCAGAATTTACATTTTCTGAGATGCGGAATCTGAAAATTACCTGTGAGTCGGCTTATTCAGCCATGATTACAATTTATACACGAATGGGTTTGTATGAAAAAGCTGAAAATGTAATTGACTTTCTGAGAGAAGATTCAGTTGTTTTGAATCTGGAGAACTGGTTGGTTCTGCTTAATGCTTACTGTCAGCAGGGGAAGTTGAATGAGGCTGAACAGGTCTTGGATGAAATGAAAGAAGCTGGCTTTTCCCCCAATATAGTTGCATACAACACTATGATCACTGGGTATGGAAAAGTGTCGAATATGGACTATGCACAACGATTGTTCCAGAACCTTAAAGAAGTTGGGGTGGTTCCTGATGAAACAACGTATAGGTCCATGATTGAAGGTTGGGGTCGGGCGTGCAATTATATTGAGTCAAAATTTTACTATCTTGAACTCAAAAGGTTGGGTTTCAAACCTAACTCGTCAAACTTTTACACAATGATAAATTTGCAGGCCAAGCATGAAGATGAAGAGGGTGCCATCAGAACTATAAATGACATTTTGATGATTGGTTGTCAGGAGTCCTCCATCCTAGGTATAGTTTTACAAGCATACAAAAAGGTTGATAGATTCGATAAATTGCCTTTGATTTTGAAAGGCTCTCTGTATGACCATGTTCTCATAAGTCGAACATCTTGCTCCATTCTTGCAATGGCTTATGTAGAAAATTGCTTGATTGATGATGCACTAAAACTTCTAAGGGACAAGAAGTGGGAGGATTCTATATTCGAGGACAACTTGTATCATCTGTTAATATGTTCATGCAAAGATTTAGGAAATTTTGAGAATGCTGTCAAAATATTTACTTGCTTGCCAAAATCCAATAACCCTAACTTACACATTATCTCAACAATGATTGACATTTACAGTTCAATGAGCTTATTTTCTGAGGCTAAGAATCTGTATCTAGAGTTGAAGACTTCAGATGTTAAATTGGACATGATAGCCTTCAGCGTTATTGTAAGAATGTATGTCAAATCTGGGTCTTTAATTGAGGCCTGCAGTATTTTGGAAATAATGGAGAAACAGAAGGATATCATACCAGATGTTTATCTTCTTCGTGATATGCTCCGCATTTATCAGAGGTGTTTCATGCATGATAAATTGTCGGATCTTTACTACAGAATTTTGAAAGATGGAGTAATCTGGGATCAGGAAATGTATAATTGTGTGATCAATTGTTGTGCCCGTGCATTACCCGTGGATGAACTTTCAAAGCTTTTTGATGAGATGCTTCAGCGTGGATTTTCCCCAAACACTATTACCTTCAATGTGATGCTCCATGCGTATGGAAAATCCAGGCTATTCAAGAAGGCAAGGAAAGTATTTTGGATGGCTAAGAAACGGGGACTCGTTGACGTTATATCTTACAACACTATCATAGCTGCATATGGGCAAGGCAATTACTTAAAGAATATGTCTTCTGCTGTCAGAAAAATGCAATTTGATGGTTTTTCGGTTTCTCTTGAAGCATACAATTGCATGCTGGATGCCTATGGGAAAGAGGGCGAAATGGAAAAGTTTAGAAGTGTCTTACAGAGAATGAAGGATTCTAGTTGTGCATTTGATCATTACACTTACAATATCACAATTAACATTTATGGAGAGCAAGGATGGGTTGAAGAAGTTGCTGATGTGCTAAAGGAATTGAAAGAATCTGGAATTGGACCTGATTTGTGTAGCTATAATACATTAATAAAGGCATATGGAATTGCTGGAATGGTTGAAGATGCTGTGGCTTTGGTAAAGGAAATGAGAGAAAATGGAATAGAACCTGAACGAATAACCTATATTAATCTGATCGCTGCACTGAGAAAGAATGATATGTTTCTAGAGGCAGTCAAGTGGTCCTTGTGGATGAAGCAAATGCGGCTTTGAAGCTTGATCTTTCCTCTCTGCGTCCATTAAGACCTTGAGCTGTAGCATTTGGAGAATCGATACAACGGTAGATGATGCATGTATAAACTCTGTATTTTCTACTTGTGCCTTGTTTGGTAGGTGAAGCATTGGACAGTCTGAAGAACTAAAAGAAGTTGAAACCTTGTCTATAGTATTGTCCGATCCTATCTAATATCACCATAGCAAACATGCCCTTGGAGATCATTCTAAGCCATCTTGAAGAGAAAATATGAATAGTGACTTCTTTAAATTTTGTTTTGCAGGACGTGGACACTATTCTTTCATACATGCAATATGAATAACTAATGTCGACTATATGGGGTCTGAAGTGTTTACTATCCTTATGCAGCTTCAGGTAGGAGTATTTCTTGTATTGTTGATTCCTTATGTATTGTATCTAACTGTTGTAGATTGCTTAAGTAATTATACGATTTTCGTTTCCTTCAATGTACTATAAGAAACTACAAGGCACCATAATCTGTAAGAGTGAATTTTACTAATAACAGAATATACAGAGTTTTTACCATTAATAATAAATGCTTGTGCTCTTTTCCTTCTTTTCATAATGTGCCTTCGCTCTTGATGTTCTGTGTCTGTTGAATAGAGATAGATACTAGAGTTAATAAATAACTGCTGAATTGTTACTTCTGATACTTCACCTCTATGATTAAGCCAAACTGGTATAGATTGAATTATCTTATTTGAGCAATATGTTGCTTTCCATTGCTGTAATACACGTTTCAATGGAGTTCTACACCATCGTGACATGTTTAGTATGATGGATTGTATTGGACAAGATTAAAAAGAGAAAAAACTAAAATCTTATACTATACTATTTTGTCATGTTTAGTATAACGTACTATGCATGCTTAAAAGTGAGATTAAAATTGCGGCTCACATTTTTATGTTAAGATGATAACTAAATATAAAGCAACCACAACATAGGATCTTACGAGCGAGAGTTGGATACTTGGACACATAAAGGAGTATACAGTAGATTGAAATATTAGCTATATTGCCAACTAAATTATTTGATAATCAGACATCCAGCAAGCAAAACAGGCAACTGATTGCTTTTGATTTTAAGGTTTCTTCAATTTATCTCTGTTTTCTCCATCCCCAACACCTCCCCTGCCGCCAGCATCTCCACCTAGTACACCTCCAACTCCTCCACCAAATCTGCCACCTCCTCCAAAGCCATGCCTTTCCCCACCACCAATACCTGCTCCAACCTCGCTGCCAATACCAGCTCCTATACCTCCAACATCTCCAACTTCACCACCAATTCTTTTGCCTATTCCTCCACCAGCACCCACTCCTCTCCAGCGAACTACACCAACTCCTCCACCCCCACCTATTCCACCACCAGCACTGCCTCCTACATCTCCACCAAATCCTCCACCCAAACCACCACCAGTTCCTTTACCTATTCTTCCACCAGCACCACCTCCTATTCCTCCACCTCCACCACCACCACCACCACCAATTACTCCTCCACCCCCACCACCACCTATTCCTCCACCAATGCCACCTCCTATCCCACCACCACCAATTCCTTTGCCTATTCCTCCAGTGCCACCTCCAATTCCTCCACCTACACCACCACCAACTCCACCCACGCCTCCACCAATTCCTCCACCGCCACCTCCACCTCCACCTATTCCTCCACCAGTGCCACCTCCGAACCCTCCACCTCCACCACCACCAATTCCTCCACCCACGCCTCCACCAATTCCTTTACCTATTCCTCCAGTGCCACCTCCGATCCCTCCACCTATTCCTCCACCAGTGCCACCTCCTATCCCACCACCCACACCACCACCAATTCCTTTGCCTATTCCTCCACCACCGCCACCTCCTCCACCACCAATTGGTTTACCAACCCCCCCTCTTATGCCTCCACCATTACCACCACCTCCCCCTATAGTATTTCCCGGATCATGTCCACCTCCTTTCCTAGTTCCCTTCCCAATTCTTGCTCCTCCACCTTTTCCTTTTCCAGTTACACCACCACCTCCAATTGCTCCTCCTGCATGATGATGCTTTGTCCCTTTCTTATGGTGCTTTCCACCATCATTATGGCCACCTCCACTGCCTCCCCCAACTCCCCCGCCTACACCACCACCTTTACCAATGCAATCAGGTTTTCCAACAAGACCATCTGGCTCTTTTCCCCGAGTAAATGAATGTTCAATATTTAGTCCGCTCTCTCCACTGCTGTCACCATTACCGTCAACAAACCATTCTGGTTTTTCCTCTTCCCCTGCATTTCCTCTTAATTTCTTACCCTCTACACACCCCACCACCATAACATAAATCACCATTAAAACAAGAAAACCCTTCCCTTCCATTTTGCTTTTCATTTCTGTTTACACGAGACAAATAAAACTTCACGACTATATAAAGAAATTCATGCTCTTGCATTATTAATTATCAACATAAATTCTTTTCCCAACCAACTCTTTCTTTTTGTATTTTTATATTTCTTTGTAACAAGTTACAAGCAATCTAGCTCGAATACCCATGATTGTACGTGATTACTCCATGCATGCATTCATGGCCACCTCTATCTCTCTCTACGGCGATTGGCTCGGGAAAATAATGAGGTCGACGGTGCTCACTTTTTCAATAAACGGTGATTAATTACAGGCGCCATTTCACTGATTTTTTATTTTTTATTTTATTTATTTATTTATTTATTTTTTTGGGACTGTAATATCACAGAGTTTTTGTACCATCGAAGCAGAACGAATTCGATTCGTGAGTTGAAAAGAAGAAGTTGAAAGTAAGAGCCTTAACCAGAGAAGGATAGAAATATCCGACATGCACCGTTTATGCTCACGGACAGCATTAACTAGTTCATAAATGAAAACTAGCTAGGGCTTGAAGACGTGAATCAATTCAATTGTTACCAAGAAAAATTAAGATTTTTTAAATTTTTAAATTTTTTAAATAAAATTCAAACGATTAAAGAAGCAAGAAAATTTTGTTAACCCCTGCTGTGTACACCCATAGTGTCAAGACCATCCCTTTCCTGCATGTAAATATAGTTATAGCAGCATAAATGTAGCTAAAGCAATGTAGAGCATATTATTGGATGATCTGTTCAAAACTTGAATTGCATATATGACTTGAGCAGAATTTCTATTGACTCTTCTTCATCGAGAATAAGTTTGATTGGTCTGAAGTTGACTTTTGGTCATATTGCTTGGACAAACATTTATGTATAGAGACGTACAAATCGTAACGGGTAATTAGTGAGTTGTCGTAGCTTTCTCCGTCGCCCGGCCTGTCGGGAATTTTGAGGAGGCTGGTCTCGATTTCTCGTCTTGTTTCCTCATTTACTTATTTTTTAAAAACAATTTAAATTTAAAAATATAAAAGTAAAATGAGAAAAAAAATGATAACATAAAATTCGGTGGTTCCTCCATGATTCTCCGACTTAACCGGCCGAGGCATTTTGCCATCCGGTAACATGGGGTTTTGCTCCACTTACAGCTCAAGGGTTCGGGCTGGGCCGCCCCTTTTGGAAGATATTTTATGAGAAAATTACCTAGATCCCTTCTTTTCAAGATTACATTTCTAAAACAAGTGGGTAAAAGATTAAATTTCATTAATCAGGTGATAAATACTAATTTTTAAATTAATTAATTACACCCACGCATTCTATCACCCCTAAACACTTCTTTTACCCCATATCCCAATTCATTTTTTAACTCACTGACTCTCTCTTTCTTCTCCAAAAATTTATCAGCACCCTCTTACCCAAAAATCTCATCGGTGGCTTCTTCCCCACCCCCACCCTTTAAATTCCGGCCACCTACCACTTCTCTCGTCGGAGTTTCACACAAATTTCTTCTTTGAAAGCTGATGAGCTTAGATTTTGGGGAAGTGCCAATGTCACCTAAAGCAGAAACAGTGTGGGAGGAGAAGAAAACCCAAATGTGAACGTGGGGACCATATGGTGAAGAACAATCAGATCTACAGCTTCTCTCTCATAATCTTCCTCATCTTTTCGAGAAATAACTGAAAAAAAATCTTTGAAATCTTTATTGAGAAATATTCAGCAATCAACTGGTTTGTGTCTTTTGAAGGTATTGATGGAAGTTAAGGTAGTGATAATTATTGTTATTGATTTGAGTTAAAGATGTTAGTAGTGGTGGTGATTATTATTTTTCTGAACAGATCTGTTGTTTTCATTGGAGATCTGATTTTTTCTGTTCGAGATCTGGTTGTGATTATTTGTGACCTATTTTTTGTTGATTGTGACTGGTTGTGACTTGAGATTGATCTGGTCACAAATAGTCACATTAAATACAAAATTGGTCACAGACCCCGTATAAATTTACCCCAAATCTTTTATCAATTTTTAACCCCACACACTCTATTTCTTCCCCCAAAAATTAGTTCGGCACTCTTTTACCCAAAAATCAGATTTACGACTTCTTTCCCACCCACCCTCTAGATTCCAATCACCCACCACTTCTCTCACTGAAGTTTTACGAGAGAAGTGTGGTGGTGCTAGTTGGTGTTTTTTGAAGGGTTGGTGGAAGTTATGGTAGTAATGATTGTTGTGGATTTGAGGTGAATGTAGTATTTATGGTCATCAATTTGAATTAAAGATGTTTGTGGTGGTAATGGTTATTATTTTTCCAAACAAATCTGTTGTGGTGGTTTGGAGATCTGATTTTTTTAGTTCGAGATCTGATTGTAAGTGTTTGTGACCAATTTTGTATTGATTGTGACTGATTATGACTTGAGATTGATGTGGTCACAGACATCACACTGAATACAAATTTGGTCACAATTAGTCACACCCAAGGCAAAGTTGGTCACGGTGATTCTCAGATAACATAAGTCAATAAATTTGCCACATGTAACACAGGTATGGTTATAGATAACACGGTTGCAAATCTAATAACTGTAATGCACCACTACAACCATCACAAATTTTGGAGATTTTTCTATCACCGAAGTCGAAACAATTGGTGGAATAGTCGCTGGAGCAGTTTGCCAAAGTAGTCACCGGAGCGTTTGCCGCAGCAGTTTCTCGGAACGGTCGCCGGAGTTGCTGCCTGAACGGTCGCCGGAGAAGGAGCCGATGGCTATCTCCGGTGGAGAGGTAAAGGGAAGGTGGTGTAGTGGCGTGATAAGATGGGGTGAGTGAGGTGACATGGAGTGGAAATAATTAATGTATATTATAGTTTAATATTTAATAAATATATTTACCACCTGATTTTTGAAATATTTCAATGAGTTTATTATTTATGAAATGTGTTTTTATAATGTTGTAGTTATGTAGTCTTCCCATATTTTATTGTTCGTGCACTTAGTTGGGTTTGTTCCTTTTGCCTTGTTTGGGCTGAAAGAGTAGGATCGGCCCACTATCTCCCTTGGGTTTAATGGGCTTCCCAGTTGTTATTTACGAACACGTTTTCATTAAGGAAATTACATTTGGGTTCTCGGATCTTGATTTAATGCAAAAAATTATTTATTAGGACATTTTAGAAGTAAAATAGATAAATACGAACATGGAAAGAGGGGGGAAAAAAAAGGTATAACAATATCGTTTTCCATTCCTCCACCCGGCTCTTGCTTGTTCTCCTTTTAGCTTATTCGGCACACAATTTTGGGGCAAAATGGATTTGGGGTATTCATGAGAACATGAAAATTGGTTCTTATTTTTCATTTTCCTCTTTATTTATTCTTTTATTTTAACTAAAAATAAAAGTATAGTTGTCATTTTAGTTTTTAACCATAACAGTCATATTTATCATTATAATTATTTGTCATACTTCTTCATTATCAAGAATTCAAGACTAATACTTAACATGTCTCTTTCATTTGCTAACCAAATTTATTTTTTCGTTGAAGATTCACAAATTTTATAACTAATGAAGACAAAACTAAAATTTTTGATTTTTGTCTGCTTAGACTCTATAGTGACGTTGAACTACCTTTGACAACGTAAATTGAGAATGATTTATTTATCATTTTTAATTTTATAAATGACATTGCCTACCATCCTTTTGTTTTTGGTTTATTAAAACCATTTCAAAGTCATACTTGCCTTGTATAACAATGTGCTTGACTTGTGTCCAGCACAAGTCACATAATGTGCAAGTCAATTGGGTCATGAACCAGTCAAAATTTATCGGCACAGACTATCCGTTAAACACAATAAATCATACAAATTCACTAAAGGTCAACATTTGTTTATTTATTTATTTATTTTTGGGTGTTGCAAACCCCGTCCATCATTAAATTTTACATCGTGCATTGCCTCGCAATAAATTTTTTTTTGTTGTTGTTGGATATTCGATAAATGTCTCTGTTTATTGGAGCTACTTTTGCATAAGACTTTTAATTAACTTTTCTACTCTATAATTGTTTCTCTATCTGTAATTAAAAAGAGAAAAAGAAGAAGAGAGAGAAATTTCTAAGTTTCAATTTTTTTTGCCTAACTGAAAAGTAGTTTCTTATATGGAAAGTTCAATATCCGTGTAATTTTGCTTTGTTTGACTAACTTGCCGCCTTATATAGAATAAATGAAATACTACTAGCCTTCGAACGTATACTTTTAATAATATATTCATTGTCGGTATAAAAATATTGAATTCTATATTATATCAATCGCCATTGAATAAATATTAAGGTCATATGTGATAGGCGTAAAAATTTTGTGTATAGAAAAATGTCATTCATTTTTACTGACAAACTCATGTTATTGTATTCATTGTTGTTGTAAAGATACCAAATTCACAATTCTGAAATCGTATTGAATTCATCTGCTACTAGTCTTTGCATATTACTTATTTTGAAGCAGGTACTTATAATATTTTATTCATTGTCGGTGTAAAATATTGAATTCTCAATTTTGAAATTCGTATATCTCTAGTTTTTGTATGTATATATATTATATTAATAGCCGGTGAATAAATATTGTTGGTGCTTGTTTCTTCTTCTTGTGTTCGTCCAAAATTTGAGGTCTATCAAATGATGTACGAGGTGGAGAATTGTGAGAAGGAAGGAAGCAAGAAGAGAAGAAAGGGAAGAGAAGGCAAGCAGCGCCTAGGCGCTGCCCAGTTTCTGCCGAAGCAGAAACTGGGCGCCTAGGCGCCCCGAATGCAGAAGGGAAGCAGAATATTGGCGCCTAGGCGCCACTTCCATGGCGCCTAGGCGCCCCGGCATGTATATATATATATATATGCATTTTTTCCCTCTTTCATAGCACAACATACACAACCCAAGACCTAGAGAGAAAAGAGAGAAAACTTTGGAGAGAATTTTTACAAGTTGAAGGTGTTCATCTTGGGTATAAATTCAAAGGTATTTTCTTTCTTGGAGATTA